TCTCTCTCTCTCTCTCTCTCTCTCTCTCTCTCACTCTCTCTCACTCAAAAGTACACGAAGTCTTAATCCTCCCCTCGCTAATGTGATTTCCTGCAAATTCCCCAAAGACCGGCAGCTCCAACAATAGGATGGGAGACAGCCAGCAACGGCGGAGACCAAAGTTTGCGTAAACATGTTGGAGAGCACCGCGGCTCCCAGAGAGCTCTGAGAGCAGACCGGTCAACAAGGGAGAAAACATTTCCAGAGACGTGGGTGCTGCAAAAAGCAGCTGGGAGCGAACTGGCAAAAATCAACAGCTGTCTTGTGAGGAATGCTCTCAGGTGATCACCTCGGGCTCAACACCCTCAACTCCCCCCCAAATTTCCTTACCATCCGGGATGACTATGGGTACCTCTGGTGGTGCTGCAGCATCTGCCGAGCGTGACCCCGATTCACTCGAGCGCGAGGATGACTCCCTCTTTCCTGCATGCCTTCTGGAGCTCTTCCTGTCACACATTAGCCCTGCAAAGTCCCTCCCCCCTGTTCTTTCCTTGGCCCCTTTCCTCCAGAGTCACTGATTCATGACCTTTCCTTCCCCTCCGAGAGCACCCGGGTCCAGATGAGCAGCCCCGCTCATCCACAGAAACGGGGTCAAGTGTCCTCGCCAGCAAGGGGTGGGGGTGGGGGGGGGAGGGGGAGAAACGTCTTCAGTCTTTGCTGTGACCGTCACTTTGCTGAGGACCAAGTTCAGAGAGTAGCCTCCACATCCAGTGTGCAGTCAGACCAGCGCTGCTCCCGTTCCACACAGATCAATTGGACCCTTGCTTTGGTTTGTATCAATATTTATTCTGTACATAAAGTACTCTGCCGTTCCCTCCCATGTCAAACACACACACACACACACACAGAGAGGCTATATATATATTGATCCAAACAGAGGCATAATCACCAGGGGGAGGGGCGTAAAACACTAGCTGGTACATTTATCCAACCCAGAGAGGAAGTCCTTTGGAAAACTAGGCCCAAGTGAAGAGCCTTGAGATGAGTGAGACGCATCTAGAAACTTTCCCTAATTAGCAGAACCAATTGGATCTCACGTTTTTGTTTTTTTTTGCAAATCAAGAACACACAAACTACAGTGAAACTTTTTTTTTTTTTTCTCACCCTGCCCAAATGCACCAGAGAGTCCATGTAGTGCCAGTGCCGAATCAATTCCCCAAAAATCAATCCTGCATCTCTTCCCCTGGGCGTCGCTGGCCCACTCTGACGCAGGAACAGAGGGGTTATATTAGGGCGCGCTGACCGATATCTAACTGTGAAGCGTGCCAAAGCGGGTCCCAGGCTTCACCGGGCCTCGTTCAGAAAGCATGCGTCCCCCGTGTGGTGCACGAGAAAATCAGTCAGAGCGCAAACGGAGCTGCACGTGAACCAGGAAGGTGTTCTCGTGTGTGTATAAGGTGAGAAATCAATTAGCAGTCATCAGCGCAATACTGGCAGTAGATGTCTCACTGTGACTACTTTACATACTACGGTAACTGATTTGTCTAGTTGCAATATTTAAGGCTAAAAAGGTAAAATGTCAAAAAAAACATTTTAAACTACATATTGCTGTGCTGCAGAGATGTCCTGACCTACGCATCATATTCTACAGACTTAAAGGAAAAAATATATATATATATATTTTTTTAATTCAAACTATAACTATTTAAATATGTTTTGCAATGACAATGAGAATTATCATTCCCTCTAATATCGGAAACCACATCACAACTGCAATATCAGCCAAAATATTCACAATTAAAATAGATTTTTGGAAAAAAGTGAAGCTGTATGGTAGGGCCAAACTAAACTTGAGCAGTATTTAGTGTAAAGCCTATTATTAAATTGTTATTTATCTTTTAACGTCCTGTCCATACATTTCAATGGTGGGAGGCTAAAAGCTAACGGATACTTCTCACTTTGTGTCCACTTTGTTATAATGTATTGTTTTAGCGTCAGATAGATAAGACTTGATGCATGACACTATTCTGTGCTACAGCTTGATTTTGCAGCAGAGAACAGATTTCAGTATCACCGGCTGTAAATACAACTGCAGCTTTACAAAGAAAAGGACTACAACTACGCCCGTTGTTGCTGTGAGAATCCAAAAAGGAAACCACTGTTCCTTTAGCGATCACTGAGCTCCATCCTCAACTTTTGCTCCGCTCGCTGCTGCTGGATTTTTGCATCTCAGGATTGTTCCCTGGCAGTGCGTCGACTTGCCAACTCGGTACTGTGAGCTTATCTGAGGTGGCTGATTGGCGTTTCAACAGTAAAGTCCACTGGTAATCAGTACGGGGCTTGTGACAAAGCCCCTTTAAAACTGGAGACAGGAAGTGATGAGCGATCCGAAACACAGACCTGCCCCCCCTTTTTTTTTTCTACACAAACCAGCTGCGTGCGGAGCAGGGGCAGGGGCAGGACGTGAGCCATGTGGATATTTATAGATACAGGGAGTTGACAGGGTGCCACCTCATTATACGAGGTGCAATTCAAAAACACAAAAGATTCAACACAACCATACCGTATGTCATAACACGGCATGTTAAGGAAGTGTGTGAAGTACATGAAAATATTTTAAATATACGGTCAGACAGATTTGAAAGAGCCCGACCAGTGAGAAAGACAATAACACAAGAGCTTTATACCCCCCAAAAAATAACGTACACGTCTGTTTGGATAGGTTCATTATCACACTGCGTAATAGTTTTAAGGCGGATAGTGTTATGCTGTGCAGAACGGTGCCTGACAGACACTTCCACAGTAACTGGGAGATGCCTTCCTTTGAACTGTAACTGGGGAACAATAGGCCACAGAGAAGAGACAAACAACAGGCTGCTCTGTGTGTCCATTTGTATACAAGATCACCCAACCAATGCCAATAGACACTCAACTCACCAGGTCATGATATGAATTTAGTAACAAAACAAAAAAACAGCTTGATAATCTCTGTTAAATGTATAAGATTGAGTTCAGCCTGTGACTGGCTAAGCTAGCGGGACAAACAGCATGGACTACTACCTGACCCATGCTTCTGTCCAGCCCCAGAATGAAAACTCACAGCAGCAGCAAGCCTCTAGCTCATCCTGTTGTTGGCCATGTCTGCCTTCTCCACCGCCCGTGTCCCCTAGACAGGGCCCGGCTCGGTGAAACAGCCTTCCTGCCAGCCTGTGAATAACAGACATCGCACAAGGCAGGAGGAAGCCCGCTGACAGCCAGTGCAGAGTCTCAAACCTGCAGTGTGTCCTGGAGGTTCTAACAAGCGGGGAAATCCAGAAAAATGTGATACCAACAACACCGTGAGGGCCAAAACGTCAAGCTGTCCCGGCTGGCTGCGTTTGGTTTATTAGAGTAGTGGAGGCGATGAGAAAATGTAAAGAGCCTGGGCTGGGCCTTCCTTGCTCCTTCACTTCCTGCTGCCGTTCACAGAGCGTCTATCCGCCCCGCTTCCTCCCGTGGGTCAGAAATCCGCTTTGTATACTAGCACTCCGCGCTTGTCTTCTCCAGCCTGGAAACTTCAGTGGAAAGAGACCCCGCGCACCACAACAAGCTCTCAGTCTCCACACTTTCTCTTTCTGTAGAAAGAAAAACAGGCTGCCATGTTGTCCTTCATAACTAGCTGCTCTGTGGAAAATGACGCCCCTCTGTGTGGGCTCTGGACCCCTGGTCTCTGGGTATCAGGGTGGACCTGCAGTGATCAGGTTGATAAGGATGTGACGCATGACATGTGTGAACAAATGTTCCAGTGTAGGAGTGTCTGCTTTGTCTTCTAACCTACTAATCCGCCAATTGACACAACTTCTTGAGCATTAAAAACAAACAACCCTCTGTGCTACAACACCTGAGAGTCATGGGCCTTGTTACAAAAGGATTATCAGTGATGGGTTAGTCTTGCATAGCCAGTCCTATCTCCACAGTGCTGTGTCAGCACTACACAAAGGTCTCGCTCCGCACATTATCATTCTGGTATCGGGGGGGGGGGGGGGGGAAGAAGCGCAATGGCTTGTTTGTGATTGGTTTAAAAAGACATACAATGGTCTTGGGTGTCCTCGCGAAATAGATAACGCAAACAGCGGAAGGGGAAGGCTTATACCCACAGTCTACATCCGGTGAGTCAGAATGGGGATGAGTTTACATTACAGAGGGTCTGGAAGCCAGTCTTCACACACACACTCTACCAGCAACAAGGAGCTGACACTCATTTTGCAGATACCTGCTCTCAGACTTTGCACACTTGAGCATTATTGATGGTGTCGTGGATAAAACCATAAAACGATGTCCTCGGCAGCCTTTTCTAAGGCCGGTGATCCCAAGGAAACAAAAACTCTTTGAGTTAACAAGCGTTTTGTTAGGAAATAGAATTATAGGGGTCCCGAATTTAGTAGTTCAACTCTGAGGATCAATGTAAATAAGTGTCTTATATTTTGCTAGCTTATACAAATGTGTTATTATAGTGATAAAAACTGATCCGATATGTGAGAAGTTCATCAAGGTAATGAAAAGTTGTGAGAAACAACAGCCCAAAAAACAATTGGCATAAGCGGGGCATCTCTTCTTCACTGTCTTGCACACAAACACATGCGCACAGTGAGGCATACAAGAGCCCTTGTTCTAAATGCTGCTCATCACATGATGTTCAAGAGACTCCTCAACTCCCAAGTTTTCTGCCTGGAGAGCATCACCCTCATGCATCATATGACCCCGTCCTGGTGGCTTTTACCTTCTCCGATAACAACCAACTCCCCTCTACTCACTTACTGTCAGACGCAGCCTGTGGGACTCGATGCTCGGGTCCACATTGCATTAAGATTCAACACATCACCTGCTAAAACATCCCAAAATATGTGCATCTTCACACTTTCTCAAAACAACACTTTTTGTATATAGAGGAATATTTTATTTTTACTTTATTAAAAGTGCACAGGAAAAACCTCACACAAGTGTTTATGTTTGCAATGTTGTTGTAGTATTTAACCTTATGAGAGTAGGGAAATGAAAACATCTGAAACACATGAACATGAAGAAACCTATGACTGTTGTATAAGGATGGTTGTTGTCATCCTCACTGGCTCTTACGAATATAACCTGAGGCTTTGAAATCACGAGCTTTTCCACAGAATCAGCGGAGAGAATGAATAACATCCTCTGCTGCAGAGATGAACACACTGTCACAGTACAACAGCTTGTTTGAAGAGTATATGTGGAGGTGAAAGGCAACTTTCATAGGGCTTCATCTTGAGTTGACAAACCAGCAAAGTTGAGCCAATTCTGCATATAAGAATAGGGTGTCAAAAGCACTATTACGTGGGGTCAGTGTGTAGGGTCCCTTGGCCTTGATGCAGTATACAGGTGACATGTTGGAGTCTTTATATAGGTGGGATTATGGGAAACAGGAAATAGCAACATAGCATGACATGGCTAGCTGCTGTAGCTACGGGTAAAGGGTACTCACCGCTCTCCATCTCGTTGCCCTTCTTTGCGGTGGGCGTGTTGCCCATGATAGCAGGCTGATGGTGGAGTCCCTGGGCTCAGACTGAGTCTTCCTTTACAAGTCGATGAGTGATGCTACACCGCTAACGCAGTCGCTGGGGCTCAATGACGCTGACAGCTAGCTGCTAGCTACCATTATTGACTACCGTGTGTAAATATATTTCCTCCAAATGCCCCTCCTCGAGGAGGTCGTAAAAACACCCAACCAAGCGACTATATACACACACAAGCCTGCAGCTAATACTGACGCTTCAGGTTAGCTAAGCTAGCTGCCTCTAGCAGAGATGGACCAGGAGATGTTAGCTTTGTAGCGTTAGCTTGTGGATTTACAAGCGAGCCCCGGTAACTTGAGATGTCACTCGGCTGTCCGTTATTTCCAGAGACGACTTGGTTTATCCAAAATACAGTCCGGACCATGAGGCGGATCGTCGAAAGCTGTTTTCTCCCTAACGTTCACAAACAAGCTAGCGTTAGCTTGTAGAGTTAGCTGTTAGCGTCCCTCGCTGTCTTCTCCTGGCCTGAACTAAACCAGGTGCTATCTCTGTGTCGGCAGGCCTTTTCACTTGAGACCTGAATAATAAAAGTGGTGTCCAGGTTATTCTTTGTTTCCGGTGTTGGTGATTTCAAACGGATCTCTCTCCATTCGTTTCTAAACCAGGCATCAAGTGCAACGGTTTCCTGGGACCGACCATCTGATAGTCGATTCCTAAGATCAACAGACCCCTTCCATTAATCTTCAGACCGCAAGGGAAACTCCAGTCATCCATCCACCGGGTCCCGCCTCCCACTGGCTCTGATTGGCTACACACACAGATCCTCACACAACACAAGTCGCAATTGAAGCGCTGATTGGCTAAGCACCAACGCATCCAGACATTACATTGATGCAATTCGTCTGTCAAATTATTTAGTCCCGCCTCCCAGACTTGCTAGTAGCCAATACGCCCATAACTGTAATTGTGTGTGTTTTTTTTCATTTACTTTAAATTATCAGCTGTTTGTATTTATCAGGCTGAGTTTCGTTGCACGATACAAATAAAACGTTGTCGCATCTCGCGATCGCAATCTTATTTGCAGAGTAGTCTCTTCCAGAGCCAGGTCTGTAGCCTAGCCTCCCCTTTACCCGAGCGATCTGTGATTGGGTGTGACGTTAACACAGGCTATTTTTAGTAAAATGTGAAAATATAACGGGACACTCACAGTGATATTTGTGTTACATAGTTGGCACTTTGTTGTTATGAAAAAATAAAAGGGAATTACTTGGTGCATTCATAACAAGGTGGACACAGAAAAGTGGTTCGTATTCTGTTTCCTTGCTTCTGTGATCTCATTTGAAAAAAGACAAAATAAGACATGTAATAAGGAGGAACATATCTCTATCACACATACATTCACATTACTAATACAATGTTTTTTTAATTTGGAACACAGATGCAAACAAAACAAAACACGGAGAAAGGGATGGAGCCCATCCAAAACTCAACAATCTAAGTGGGAAAAGGTTTAAGTGAAAAATAAAGTTGAACACAAATATGATGGCAGAATATCAAATTCCTGTACGGCAATATATTGCAGTGTATTTGCCTATCGCTTCAGTGTTAAAATCCTCTTATATGGGTAAAAATGAGTTCTGCACCAACAAAAGGAAGGAAGTTGAATCACACATCAGCTTGCTTTCAGTTCAGTGCATCATTCCACAGCTACCTTTCTCCATCCCAGGAGTTAAACTAGTTCGATATTGCTTTCATAGGTGTGAGATGCTTCTAATCTTCCTTGGAAACAAACACTTAACTGGGGCTCAAGATGAGAGTTCATTTCTCAGGTAAATAATGGCAGCTGTAAGGCAAAGATGTCTGTACATCCACACTAGAATGTCCACAGGCGTTCAAAAGTGAAGGTTTCCTGCTGTGAGTTATCACATTTGGGGCTGGGTGTTGTCTCTATAAGAAGTCCATGGAGTTATCGGGTAGTATCCCTAAGGGCGGGGCCTTGCCTGGGAGACAAGACGGAGGGAGCATGGAGTTTGACGAGGGATCCACGTTTTCACAGTCCTCCATTCGCTCTGCACAGCCTTCCCAGTTTATATGGAATCTGGTCACACGTGGGTTTGATGCCAAAATATTTCTCTGGAGCTGGAGGATGGAAATACAGATAAATACTTTCAGATATTTTCATAACATCTGAATATCAATGTGTATTTAACCGTATCATCTAATTACATTACACAACTGTGTACTAACGGGTGTGACCAAGACAAATATACAATGTCTGCTGACACATTTTACAACCTAAATGGAAACAATCGGTCCACATTTGAAAAAAACATTTCCCCAGAGGACTGATTCATTTCCCATTAGCTGCAGCTAATGTACATATTGCTAATATCTAGACTCAGGGCAAGAAGATAGTACAAATGTGCCAAATGATATTCATCCAACAATAATCAACAAACAACTACAAAATAACCCACATTGAACTACAACTTTGCATTTGTGAGTGAAAAGTTAAAGTTACTATCTGAATTAAGAACATAGTTCACAGAGTAGTAACATTTCTGCCTAACTAGTTACATAACCAAAGGAATTTAATAGGATTACATTTCATTGTTGAAGGACCAAACAATGTGTGCCAAAGTGCAACAGCTTTCATTCTGCAATGTTTTAGTGCACCATGCTGCTATAAGACTACCACTGTTCTCATGGTTGACACAAAGAAACAAACATTCTTCTTAGGTTTGAGTAGTGTATACGGTCTTTTGTAATGTTTGTATTGTGAATTTTTGAGGCATCTTTCATTGCAAAATTCCTTCAAAAGTCTTCTTCAGCCAGACATCGTCAACAAACATCAGTAATCAAAGTGTGAAATAAGCATTAGAAGTCAACCGTTAGTCTGACCTGTGTGTAGTCTGGCTTGATCGGTGGGTTTTCCCGAAGCTCCGGTTCTGTGTATTCATTGTTCACATAGTAACCGATGCGAATGAACTCCTGGCCGCGGTACGTGCAGGTAATCAGCACGACAGTCACACCAACAGCATCACTCTCAGGAATCAATCCAGTGTTTGGGGCATCGGCCTGTTACAAGAAACACAAATATAAAGCAACTTTTATAAGCAACTGTTACAAGAAACACAAATATGAAGCAACTTTTATAAGCAACTGTTACAAGAAACACAAATATAAAGCAACTTTTATAAGCAACTGTTACAAGAAACACAAATATAAAGCAACTTTTATAAGCAACTGTTACAAGAAACACAAATATAACGCAACGGTCTACTTCTCAAATGCTGATGGTGGCACCAGGGTTGTGAAATGATTAAAACCAGTCAGTATGAAAGATAAGCTTGTAAAAGTGCAGTCAGTCTATTTGGACTATTTGTCTATAAATAGATTATAACACGTTTTATTTCCCAAAAGGGTCCGTACAGTACTTCTACAAAACACTGATGAATTAATAGTTACAGATAATGCAGTGAAATCAACAAGTATAACAACATAATGCAAATTAAAGTTATATTCCATGTTGTTTCACGTAACATATTTTTACAAGGCCGTAGATTCATTTTTAACAATTATAAATATAGATGGAGCAAATACATTTATGTCACTCAAAATATGTTTCCAACGACACTTTAATGTCTGGCCGATCCTGCACCGTAAAGATTTCTGGTTTATGATTCTGTATAATGTTAATCAGACTTGAGACGATCCTGCTGAGCATGTAGTCTGTTAGTAGGCTATGAACATAAAGAATTACGAGTGTTTTTACTTCACTGAAACGGCTTTTGAGGAAATCTGATATTGATATTTGAGAGTTTCAAAAATCCAATAATGATAAATGCCCATTGTTTATTTTCTTTACACAACCCAAAAGAGTTTTTGATAAGGTTCCCTACATGTTTGTTTTCCATGCATTTCCATACTTTAATTTCTTGTTGTTTATCAGTTGCCATATTTACTGATAAAGATACATTTGCATGTGCTAATATAGACCAGAGGCTAATTCCCGTAGTCACTTTCTTTACATATAGCATCATAACCAGTTTTACTTCCGGAAAAACAACCACCAGATGAACAGGTTGTGATCGGGAACTGCAGTATAGTCTCCTCGTTGTTGAAAGATGTAAAAGTTTCTGTTTGTTATTTATGATCATTCAACCTGCTATGTGTACAATTAGAAAGCTATGCAGGAGAGAATAAAAACTGTTTTTAAAGGCGAGGATGCAAAGAGGATCCAATTGCCATTTCTGAAAAGCGTAATAACAAGTTGTTATGATATTATGTATATGCTATATGGCTAAAGCAACACAAAGCACTAGTTCAGTTAGTTTGCCGGAACCAAACACACCTGAAACACGAACATATGTCTCCCAGCAGGCACCGGGCCGACCAACACGGAGTCGAGGATTTGGTCGTACTCTTCACTCTCTGCTGAGCCAACGTAGATGATCTTCCATTCCAGGTCTACAAAAAATAAGAAGTTATGTTTCACTATTAAATGATAATTTATAGTAGTGTGTAGTGAACTTAGTGCTGAGACAATTAGTTAATTTATCAGTTAGGTGATGAACAAAAGTTATTGATTACACACTATCATATTTGTCAATAATCTAGTAAAAAATACATACACCACCTGGATAAAGCTCATCAAATACAATCTATAGGTAATTGCTTTTCAGCATATTTACAAATCATACCATAAGTAATTTTGCTTTCACTTTCCATAGCAAGAGCTTGTAATACAGAAATGTGTCCAAACAGGTCACATTTACATTTACAGATCATAATATTCAAGGGGATGCATTACATGTGCAAAGCTTTTGTGTAACGTTATAATCAATATTCATTTAATGTATGACTAATAATCAACATGCTACCATGAACAATAAAGAACACAGCGAAAGTAATATACAAAGTATGATGTAATAGTGAATTGAAACTCAAAACGTTGCGCTGACACCAATTTTTTGGACTTATGTTACGCGTAAAAGTAGAGTAACGTGAACACTGACTTCAACGTTACTCTCTACGTTTTCAACCCCCTAATGCTTATTGGTGGGATTTTTAAAACCCTTAAAAAAATGCGTAGTTTCACAATACTAGCTAAATGAGAAACATTACACGTAATAACGTGGAAGGCATACGATGAATGAACAACTTAAAGATGTGTCCACCACGAAGAACACATTCATTCAACCTGTGTAAAAGTACTTTGCAACGTGGGGTTACTTTTCACAAATTCCAACTTTCAGTTAAGTTAGCCAATGTAGCTAAACTAGCGCACACAGCTATGGATAACGTTAGCTTTTAGCAATCTCTAGTGACGTTACGCAAACAGAAGTAACGTTAGCAACACTCAGCTTTACTACGTTAACTTTTACTTTACGTTACCTACCTTCGGGAAGGTCCTCCATACACTCAAATGTTATCTCAAACTGAAAAGGGTTTCCAAAGCGACTCGGGTTATCTAGGACAGCCACATTTAACACCTGTACCTTCGCCATTGTTGCTGAAGCGTTAAAAACGGGCTAACCAAAAACAAACGTTCAAACCAGACACCTGGGAATGCTTTAAAAAGCACCAAAACAAGACGTTAACACAGAGAGAGAGAGCGATATTATCTATCCAACAACTCTGGTTTTACCTAACTTAAGCCTTATTTATACCCCTAAATGTAGAATACTACACTCTTAATTAAAGTTCGTATAACTAGCGGACATTGAATTTGAGGATAAATATGATGCTCCCGCCGCTTTCACTACCCAGGCTCCTTTGTGGCTACGGCAAGCGGGTAGGTACGCGGGTGGAAAAGGAGCCGCTTCCATCAGAGGAAAGCCAACCTGTCTCAATCGCCCCCAGTGGCACGATAAATAAGCCTGGGCTGTCATTTTTTTTTTTACCAGACAATAAACATAATTTTTTTCCTGACAGGCCAAAGTAGTAAATCAAGGTGGAAGCTTTACTGTAACCTCTTGATCTATAAACTGTCCAGTCAGTCAATATGTTGCAATATTTTGCTAGTGTTTGTTCGGTAAAATAAATGTCCCATCCAAGGAAAGGTCGACAGGCACATTACACAATATATGGTGATGCAAGGAGATACAACAGTGCTACAATACAACCTTGGAAATGATCCTTGAAACAGTTCTCTACTGAACAAAAATATAGTTTAAGCGTCACAATTGTATTTATTGCAAGACTATCACTTCATTTTCAGGCACATTTCATTGTACATGTGATGGACAAGAATGGCATACAAATAAATAAGTTAAAAGAAACAAGAAGACAGAGGTCTACAACTTGGGCATAGCTTTTATATGGTAAAGACAATTATCCTATTTGCAATGAAATGGCGTTTTCATATATTTGATGAATCTTTATTGAATTTGATGAGCAGCAGGCCATATTTTCAACACTGCATATTACCATTCGTCACCACCATCACTTTTTTTTCAATTAGGGTTATGTAATTGTCTGCCTTCCACATAACCTACTCTGTGAATAAAATACATAAAGATGGTATGGGATCTTCTCACACTGACTGCGGTAATATACGAGTCATTTTCTACAGCAGTTATCTGCTTTTCAAGAAACGCCTCACTACTCTCACACACTGTCCAAATGAAAACTATTTGACCCCCACAGATTAGGCTTGAAGCAGCCTACATTTCCTTTGCCCCTCTAAGTCTGAGAAGGGGGAGATTAGGTGAGGATTAGAGTCCACTGGACCAGCTGGCCGCCGAATTCATACCTAAAATATCTCAGGAATGTCGATATCCTTTCTGATGTCGGGTAACATGAAACCTGATGGAGGCGCTGTTTCATGCCACCACCAGCAGCCAGGTTGCAAGGTAAGAGCTGTGCACGGTAGTACAGTTAAACATTGTACTCCAGCAGGCTGGTGCAAGTGAGAGCAACCTGTCTTTTAGACTCTCTTTAGAAAAAGAAAAAGTTCAGTTTAAATCAAGTAGTCTATCAGGAGCGTAATAGGCATAATGTGACATGCATGTCATTAAAGTTATCTTTTAGATGATAAGGGTATTTTTTTTTAATGTCAACAGGAGGACTGCTCTGCTTAAGTGGGCTGAACCGGGTTTTTCTTCGACTTTGTTACAAAGGAGTATCTGTCCGCTCTGCTGCAGGTGGATATCTGCGCTCAGGTAATGTAACACGAAACTCAGCCATGTGACCAATGGCGATTTGAAGACTAGACGAAACTAGAAAAAAAAAAAAACAACTGCTTTACATAAAACACCAACGAGTAGCGCAGTCGAGGATGTAGAGTCGTATTGGATCCTAGCTGTTTCAGAAGCACGGCTTTTGTCTGGAGATGTTACCTCATTTTCATCGGACTAATCCATTTGTTGCCGTTTCATTTTTGACAAGGTGAGAGGCGGAAGCGAGGAATACACCTGCTCGATGTTTCCCGGTTTGCTTAGATCACCTGAAAACAACCTGATCCATGATATGCCTCTAAAACAGCTTGTTTAAAAATTAACTTAACAATATGTTGTATTTTATTACTACAAGTTATAATAATAATACTGCTGCAAATGAGAAGGGGTTGAACATTAAAGCGTTTCAATATGCTATTAATAGCGTATTATGTTCCTGTGGTCTGAGCAGGTTTAATGGTGATTCAACATCAGGCTGAATGTGTGACTCAGTGGCTGAATGGTGTTTCTGACTCAACCTCAGAATAAAGATTTAGAGTGTCAAATAAATACAGGACATTTGTCTTTATATTTCCTACAATGATGTGTCTTCAGCTGTTAAAGATGGGCCAATAAATCCATCCAGTGAATGTTGGACCCAGTGAAATGGACCCGAGCTGAGGCCCCAAAGCCTGAGTCTGCCCTCCCTTTGCCGTGCTGGTCACGAGTAGAGATGGCAGCGTGTCCGGATGTGCTGGTCATGCCTGGAGTTTTGGTCAGGAGTGTTTTACTGCTGGTACTGAGCAGTAATCCTGTGTGGGGTGAGTCAGTAACCATCCCTTCATCCTCAATACAACCACACAAATAAGACATCTGACCACACCTAGAGCGTGCACACACACACACACACACACACAACATTATATCATGCAATGACAAATAAAACGGGACATTCCAGAGCAAATCTGAAACATGCACAGGCTTGTCATCATGTTGTCAGAACGTTTGACTAAGAACTGACTTAAGAAACACATTCTGCCATATGAGAAGAGTATATTTACATCAGGTTTCATCTTATCAATAACTAAACACACAAAAGAATCCAATTTAACGATACATTCAGCCACCATGCTCAAAAGAGTACGCTTTTGAGCATGGCGGCTCCTTCCTGTAACCCCTGCTTCTTGTTATCAAGTTGCACTTGTGTCCTTGCAAAGTTTGCTATTTGCCCTGGTGAATGATTGACTCATAACATGGGCCAAAAACACAACTTTCTTAATATAACGATGTTCGGTGCCTTTGTGATGCTCAAAACAATCAAAACAACGAACAAGAAAACGGTACATTTTCATTTTTGTATCCATATTTTAAGGAAACGTGTCGTTTTCACTCAGCTGACTGTGTAGCTGCAGCACACTCTGCATGCCTGAGCTTCTCCTCCTCCTCATTCACTCTCCCGGTCAGGTAGTTTTTAGTTTCGTGATGTCACTGGGTAATCACATGGCTGGTCATGGATAAAATGGCTGGGAATAAGGCTAATAGCAACCTCTGCTTTGCCGTCGGTTCCTCTTTTTCCTACTTGTGTTAAATAATGTTTCCATTGCTTAAAAAGAGGTTTAACTTTAATATGAATGAATCACAAAGATTTAACGTAGGTTTTGGAGCTGATTTTTATTAATGAAGACGTTATATCTTAAATTTGAAATGTAAAAACAACAATTGGCAGTTTTAAGGAGGGTTGTGAACTGGACTACTTCTTGCCTGGGACCATTAATGTCCCGGAGTCTCTAGATAAATGGGAGAAACCAGATTACAGCAGTAGTTAGATACACATGCTGACATGCGGTGCCCTGGTTACTGAAAAAACTAAAGTTTACATGCGCTCGTCACTTAAAGCAACTGTTCAAATAAGTCTCCTAGATTATTATTAACTATTTAGTTAATAGGTTACCAGTTACCAGCAGTTAGGAAGCCCATACTGAAACATCTTGAGACTGTAAAGAGTTGGCATTGTTACTATAATTGTTCCTGATGTTTCTGCTATTTTCACAGGGAATTCTACTTCACCTGGAAGTGACACCGGTTCTAATAACACTGCTGTGAGTAAATAACCTTCATCACGACCACTAAATGACACCAGAAAATGTTCCTTTCTATCACCAGATTGACCACTGTCCTGTAATTTTCCACTTGCAGGGCCCCAACATAGCAGCTATCGTGGCCCCCACGGTCACGCTGGGCGTTCTGGCCATAGTGTTGGCTGTGCTCGGCTGGCTCTTCTGCGTGGTGAAAAAGAGGAGACAGACTGAAGGGACGTATAGACCCAGTGCGGAGGAACAGTCCGGTGCACGCGGCGTGGCCGCGCCAGATGCTCTACAGTTACCAAAGGAGGAAAGACTCATTTGAGATTTAGTGCTTTATGTTTTTAGAAAATCCCGTACGGACAAAGGCAGCAAGCTTTTGCATAGCGTTGCTCCTGTGTGAGGAGGCTCTCTGCCTCGAGCTGATCAATGAAAGAAAAGTCTCCCAAGGTTTAAGAGAGGACAGATTTTAGTTTTTATTTCAACAAGCACTGAATGGTTCCTGCATGGCACCATGGAGAAATGCACCTGGATGTCTGGATCTCGCCCGTTTTAAGAACAATTGAACATTTCAAGGAGGTTTTGAACATTTCCTCTGCACAAACGATGCTTCAGTATTTTATCACCACTAATAATTTTAGTTTAGAGATGTTTATCTTGTTTCAGTCGCCACTTACCATGTACCAGGACTTGAATTGATTCAGTCTGTTATGAAACACTTTCACTGGCAAAATCAATACCAATCTTTTACCTCAAACTTATTTTTGATTTTGCTACTGAGTCCTGATGAGTCCATTTTATCTTCAATCAAGACATGTGTCTTAGCCTAATAATGAGTGCAATTAAACATATTATTACAGTGCACAACTTGATTGATTTTATAAAGACAGATGTATGTTAAAGATGAGGTCATACTGAGCAATTGTTTACACTTCAAGTACTCAAAACTAATTTAAAATCACATTATTTAAAGATAATTTCATCAGTAGTGCATAATATGATATAATAATCAAGATGTTTTACAATGTTACATGTTTATTTATGCTTTTGTAAAATAAATGTTTGAAATAATAGTTGAGTAATGAAACTTCACAAAAGCATTTAAAGCATCTCCCGTTCTAATTTAGAGTTTTCTTAAAAATATATGATGTTACTAAATGTATGATTATATTCACAGTATGTAATTCTATTAAAAATAAGATTTGGGTTTGAAGCGGGAGAACACTTAATAAACATGTATATTTATCATATGCCAAATAATCTATTCATCTGGAAAATATGGGCGAGTCCATAACTTTGTACTTTGTAGTCTTTGGCTGATAAAAGAGCTTAGCAGATAAGGAGTCCTGGTAGTCAGAGAGTGAAAAGTTCACTGAAACAATGAGGCCATTGTTAGTCTCTATGGAATGTTTTTTTAATCTATAATGTAATGAAAAACTGTAGATGGACTTTAATATTTTTATGTTCATGTATTTTTATAAATCAAAAACATTTGGAAACTGAAGAAATTGTGGCCAAACTATTGACTTACTCACTATATACACATATACACTTTGTTATTCTCATGATTAAAAAAATGGAGATAACTATCAAAATCCATATTCATTTGTACAGTCATGTAGTGTCATTAGCAAGTTATTAAATTGCTTTTTTAATAAATTTGACCACACATCAAGTCAGGATTTATATTAAAAGACATGTTGAAATGAAAGTAGTTTTTTGGAATATTGGATTGACTTAAAATTCTGGTCTTTGACTAAAAAGACGGCTAGACCATTTAGTATTCATATTTGCATTATGCTTTGATTTACAGATCATGTTCAGATTTCAGCTGACAAGAAATGAAGGATTTCATCCCCTTTTTAGATTAATTATCCTACAGGAAAGCGGTTTACAGGCTACGAAGTATTCAGTATTTAAAGAATCATTTGAAAAACATTACAGACCCTATGAATCATGTTTTGACCCTCCTAGGGGGCCAGACCCTCAGGTTGAGACCTACTTCACTTGTCAGCACGTTGCAGGACAGACACTGGAGTGCAGTAAGGCCTGTAGTAATGTCAGATCACACATTATGTCAATCAAAACAACTCAGAGGCAGTAAAAGTGGCCTTTTAATCAGATTTTATTCACCCTCCAATCTCAAGTCTTCACAGTTAAAATCACTTCCGCAAGGCAGTGACAGGACGGATGTAAGGATGCCAATAATTCAGTGCATTCACAACAAACAAAAACCTTTTCAACAAAAACGTGACTAGCATCAGTACAAATCTATGTCTAACACTAGAGCAACAGTGATCTAAATGGTGACAGTTTCTCATTCAGAGTGTGGCAGACCGTTTTAATTCATGATGGAGAGGGATGAAAGGGATGGAGTTCGGGGGACTGGTAAATTAAATGAGGTTTGGCAGCTGGCCAGGCTTTAGGCCACTTCCTCCTCTCCCTCTTCCTCAAACTCGCCCTCCTCGGCGGTGGCTTCCTGGTACTGCTGGTACTCAGACACCAGGTCGTTCATGTTGCTTTCGGCCTCGGTGAACTCCATCTCATCCATGCCCTCACCGGTGTACCAGTGGAGGAAGGCCTTACGGCGGAACATGGCGGTGAACTGCTCGGAGATGCGCTTGAACAGCTCCTGGATGGCTGTGCTGTTGCCGATAAAAGTGGCGGCCATTTTGAGGCCACGGGGCGGGATGTCACAGACGGCGGTCTTCACGTTGTTCGGGATCCATTCAACGAAGTAGCTGCTGTTCTTGTTCTGCACGTTCAACATCTGCTCGTCTACCTCCTTCATGGACATGCGGCCCCTGAACACGGCCGCCACGGTGAGGTAGCGGCCGTGACGCGGGTCACAGGCAGCCATCATGTTCTTGGCGTCGAACATCTGCTGGGTGAGCTCGGGCACGGATAGGGCGCGGTACTGCTGGCTGCCTCTGCTGGTGAGAGGGGCAAAGCCTGGCATGAAGAAGTGCAGACGGGGGAAGGGCACCATGTTGACCGCTAGTTTACGGAGGTCGGCGTTGAGCTGGCCGGGGAAACGCAGACATGTGGTCACCCCGCTCATGGTGGCGGACACCAAATGGTTTAGGTCCCCATAGGTAGGGGTGGTGAGTTTAAGTGTGCGGAAGCAGATATCATAGAGAGCCTCATTGTCAATGCAGTAGGTCTCATCTGTGTTCTCTACCAGCTGGTGGACAGAGAGAGTGGCGTTGTAGGGCTCCACCACAGTATCCGACACCTTGGGAGAAGGCACCACGCTGAAAGTGTTCATGATGCGGTCAGGGTACTCCTCGCGGATCTTGCTGATGAGCAGCGTGCCCATGCCGGAGCCGGTGCCGCCACCCAGGGAGTGAGTGAGCTGGAAGCCCTGGAGGCAATCGCAGCTCTCGGCCTCTTTCCTCACGACATCCAGGACGGAGTCCACCAGCTCGGCTCCCTCCGTGTAGTGGCCCTTGGCCCAGTTGTTTCCAGCTCCACTCTGACCTGTAGTCAAGAGTATCACAGTTCATTGATGTAGCAAACACAAAGAAGCTATTTTCATGGATGTGACAACAGGTTCACATGGGTTACCAAAGACAAAGTTGTCGGGTCTGAAGATCTGCCCGAAGGGACCGGACCGGACTGAATCCATCGTACCAGGCTCCAGGTCCACCAGGATGGCTCGGGGCACATACTTTCCACCTGAAATCAAATGAATCGACAGCGTCATTTCTGGTAAATACGAGCTTGTTGAGCATGATGCGTTTCATGTAAAACACAAACGCAGATGCAAATCACTTCTTACGGAGGCAGAGCTGGTTAGATGAGGGAAGAAGAGAGATAGTTCAGTTCACTCTGTTGTGTATTTTAGCGGATTCGGTAGCTTACCTGAGGCCTCATTGTAATAGACGCTGATTCTGTCTAGCTGCAGATCGCTGTCTCCGTGGTAGGCACCAGTGGGATCAATGCCATGCTCATCGCTGATCACCTCCCAGAACTGAGACGGGGAAGGACGTGAGGGAAACACAGATTTTAGAACAACTGAATATAATGAAATTAGGTAACAGTACCCGGGTTCCCTGAAATGGCACATTAAGCTATTTTTAAACATGCTGCAATGACTATAATACTCCAATTGAATGCAGGTCGGAGGAGCAGTCTTTTAGTCTAAGACGCAGACTAGACTGTCTCTGGAGTAATCAAGCAGATGGCAAAAATATGACAGTATATTCGATGCTATAAGAACACACTGTACTATACAACAATCTTGTAATCATGTCAAACGAACAAAATAACATCATGAATTGGTGTAAAATCAGGGGTTTTACCACTGGAATTGGCTTGAAAAGAATTATAGGTAAAAATAGGTCATAAAGGAGGAGGACGGGGTGGGGAGGCTGCTACGACAGCTACATAAGGTTACATTACAACTACCGTCAATCCTTCATATAATTGATTGCAACAATCGACAAAAATGTATAAACGGCAAGCACACATTTTTGCATGCAATTATTCATTTGCGAATTTGTTTGTCTGTTGCACAAATCAACGCAAAGCAATGCGTGCGCGAATCTGGAGTCCAATGTAAGCCCCGCAGAGAACATCAATGACCGAATCAGCTTAACATTTTAGTCATTGCACGAAGCTTCAAATCAAGAGAGGACGTCGCATTGGGTTTATTCTAGAGAATTCTTGGAGGGGATTCTCGCCTGCACAAGTCTCACCACAATGAAAAACCAAACAGAGAAAAGGAGGAAATCAGAGGAATACCTTAGCTCCGATCTGGTTGCCGCACTGACCGGCTTGCAAATGCACAATTTCGCGCATTTTGGAACAAATGGATCCGAGGACAGTCGAGTAGATGGTCCACTGAGCAGCAGAGATTCACAGAATGTTCCTGCGGTCGATCGCCTGGGATTAGTGTGCGCCGCCTCTGAGACCGTCTGCTGGGCTGAAGCGGTGGTGCAACGTGACGTCATCGCCATGGTACCCAAAGACCGGAGGAGAGAGGGAGGGACCAAGACCCGTGGAAACGGCGGATAGGGTGCGAGGGGCTGCATCAGCCATCAATAAGATTCTCATTATTCTCACGAACTCAGTGCACTCAGAGTCCCTCCAAACACACACACACACACACACACACACACACACACACACAAAAGTCACACCGATGTGCAGTTTTGACAGTGCAGTCTATTGTTAAGACCGCGAGTTCATTAATGTTGAAGTTAGACATAGTTAGCATAAGTAGCCATGGCTTGAAAATGACAAGGCCAGCAACATTTAAAATATATCAACTGTAGAATGAGGAATTCTTCTGAAAATATCAACTCGATATTATCTCAAGGTAATGTTTCGGTGGAGAGAGGTTTGCGCAGCCATTAGGGCCAAGAGCATCAGCACATTTCTTATGATCAAAGATGTGCTCTACTTCCTTTAAAAGTACTTTTAATTACAGTGGCTCTGTTTTTTTTTTTTTTTACAATCAAAATGAAACAAAGCCAAAAACAACATTGACATTTATGATAAGAGAAAACAAGTTAGAGGGATGGGCATGTAAGATTAGTAATGTGCTTCCAATCCACACTCCCCGTTTTGTGCAAAAGTAAACTGTCTGCATTACATAAATCAAAAGGATATCTTCCAAAGTTACAGGCTATTCACTACAAACTTCCCTATTTTTGTTACTTTCCCTCCAATGCAGCTCAAAACGAAAAAAACGAAAAAAGTTGTGTTATAAAACACACTTTAACAAGTGTGAAGATATCCTATAAGTCCTTCAGCCAGTTTTTACAGTTGAAGAAGTTTAGTTTGTATTATTTCAAAGTTACCACTGCAATTAACAATAACATGTCTTGTGTAGAATACATTAACAAGACTTTTTGATTGGT